GCTCAGTTTCCGTAATATGAAGAGAGTTGAGTTTGATTTTTTACTTAGGTGATCAATATGCTCTCACCATTTTAATTTGTCATCCATAAAAATTCCAAGTAGTTCAACTTCTGAATTGTTGGCAATTTGGGCACATGTAATGAAATATGTCATTGATATAGACAATGAATAAAAATGGGCCAAGGATAGAACCTTGAGGTAGTCCAAAATGAATGTTCTCGATTCCAGAATAGCTGTGGTCTATAAGAACAGCTTGTCTCCCACCATTCAAGTACGATTCGAATAATTTTCATGCAGTACCGTAAAATTATAGTTTTTCTAATAGTACTGTGTGACAAACACAGTCGAAGGCCTTGCTCAAGTCATACATAGACACAACCGTATGTTGACCCGCCTCAAAATCCTCGACTATATCAGCCACAAGTCTTTGAATCGCTTGAACAGCGGAACAGTTATGTCCGAAGCCGAACTGACGTTCATGTAACGTTTTGTGCATAGAAAAGAACAAAATTGAGCGGCCTTTTTGAATATTTTCAAAAATTTTACCGAAAATTAGTACTATCGATATTGGACGGTAGTTGTCGATGGTATTTTTGTCACCTTTTTTAAATATAGGTATCACTTTAGTTAGCTTGAATTCATCAGAGAAGTCTCCATTGGAGATACAATGATTAAAAAGAATAGCCAAAGGTTCTAGAAGAAAGAAACAAGTACTTTTTATTATTTTGCTCGTCATTTCGTAGATATAATTAAACTCGTCAGGAGTTATAGTCACATCTTTCGTTACCTTTTTTTACCTCTATTGCTTTCCGTGTTTATCAAATTCCAGCATGTTTTAGTTAAATTGTTAGATTTCAATATCAGCTGATTATAAACTTCAGCTTTGCCTTTTTTATCTCTTGATTGTATCTCGATTTGAAGTTATTATAGACATTTTTGAAGAAAATATCATTCGAACTATCCGAAATTGTTTTTAGTATTCAGAGAAGTTTTCATAAAAAAAATTTACTTTAAGATTGCAGTTGTCATAGACGTTTTTCACAGGACAATTTTGTGTGATTGGGTCGTTGTAAGGAGTTTGTCTAATTCAATGTTCATGTGGAAGTAGTTGTTTTGGATAGGCTTTTTCTTTCAGTTTGTGCCTGAAAGTAACTTCTATACATGATCTACAAATCTTTGCAAACAGTTTATTTTATAAAGTCTCACCACAATTTTTTTGTATAAAGAGAAACAAGTGAACAGCAAAAAAACTCATTACTTCTAAAAATATACCCCTTTCAATTCAAATTGATCTTTATTACTTTCAGCGTTTTTGTAAACTTTGCTGAATTTTTATCGACATGTGAAAAAACATTCTTTTTCAGTGAGAGCCGGGAGTTCACCTTTCCATAATAATAATAATTATATTTGTTAACCAAAATAAACGTATTGCAGATTTTTAGAAAAAAAATATCATCTCTACTTCTCCATCTTTAATATAAAACTTCCGAAGGAAAGAAGAAAGCAATATTAAGTTCAGAATAAACTATTCGCAAAAATTTATGGATCATGAATAAAAGAAATTCAAAAAATATACCCCCTTCAATTCATTACACGATTGTTCTTTTTGGATTCATAGTAAATCAATTCGGTATTAGAGAAATCATAAAATATGGTCATTCCAATAAACAGGAAACAAAAAGATATATTTCAAAAAGGACACTCTGATCGATAGTAAAGTCAACTCCACAAACTTTCTAGGTGTAATGATTGATAAATCACTTTCATGGTCTGAACATCTTGAAACTTCATAAAAAAAACTCTCCAAATCCCACTTTGCAATTTTGCAATTGAGGTATGAACTTCATGAGACAATTCCGATACAAGTTTATTGTGCCTTATCATTTCTCTCCTCTACATAACCTCACAAGAAGAAGTCAATAGAGGCGAGGTTGGGGCACTTTGGTGGCCATTCAGTGTGCCCGTAGAGGGCGTAGAGCCCAATGCAACTATTTCTTTGTATAGGTATTCCCTTATAGAAACATAAACATGTAGAGGCGCCCCATCCTGCTGAAAAACTGGACTGTAGCTTCAATCCCAAGTGTGATAGCTTCTAAAAGTTGCAAGTAAGTGTTCCGGTTTGATTTATCAGGATTTTGTGTATTGTAATGAATCTGGAGCCGCCTCTGACCGATATGCCGGCCAGCGAACAAACACATGACATCACCGCGAAAGAATGCAGTCGGCAACCGCCGGTAAAACTCTAGTCGAGTATCGAACCGACTGCAGATTTCTAGAAAGAACCGTTACACTATATAAGCCCGTAAAAAGGACACTCTGATCGATAGTAAAGTCAACTCCACAAACTTTCTAGGTGTAATGATTGATAAATCACTTTCATTGTCTGAACATCTTGAAATTTAATCAAAAAAACTCTCCAAATCCCACTTTGCAATTTTGCAATTGAGGTATGAACTTCATGAGACAATTCCGATACAAGTTTATTCTGCATTATCATTTCTCTCCTCTACATAACCTCACAAAAAGAAGTCAATAGAGGCGAGGTCGGGGCACTGTGGTGGCCATTTAGTATGCCCTCTACGCCCAATGCAACGACCACGTATTTCCTTGTATAGGTATTCCCTTATAGAAACATAAAAATGTAGAGGCGCCCCATCCTGCTGAAAAACTGGATTGTAGCTTCAATCCCAAGTGTGATAGCTTCTAAAAGTTGCAAGTAAGTGTTCCGGTTTAATTTATCAGGATTTTGTGTATTGTAACGACTCTGGAGCCGCCCCTGACCGATATTCCGGCCAGCGAACAAACACATGACATCACCACGAAAGAATGCAGTCGGCAACCGCCGGTAAAACTCTAGTCGAGTATCGAACCGACTGCAGATTTCTAGAAAGAACCGTTACACTATATAAGCCCGGCTTCCCGACCCAAGAGGGCAGTTCAGAAAGTGAATCGAGCGGCTAAACAAGAAGTTCAAATAGTGGAAATAAATTAAGCGTTAGTTGCTAAGTGTAATAAATAAATTAGTTTGTGATTAGTGAAATATTGTTGGAAATAAATTTGTTTGAGACAGTTCATTCTTTAATTTGTTACAGTATGGTAATTGTGTCTATCAACAGAACCACTTATAAAAAAGCTTGCTTCATCACTGAACTATATCCGATGGATGTGGTTGAATTGTTTGGCAACTAAATGCTCCATAGTTTCACAAAACTGCAGTCTTCGATCTGTGCTATGCGTACAGAAATAGCTTTCTTTGTACAAACGTAATTGTCGAAATTTCGTTTTTATATATTCACTGACTTTGAAGATATCAGCCCGTACTAAGACTTTCGAACACCCGGTATATAAGTTTCATTACCGTACTGAACTATAGGATGACTCCTAAACTGAATATTGTCTGGTAGGCAAATGAGTGTATTATTTTTTTTTTATTTTTATAAAAATTTTGAATATATCGAGAACACCTTGTATGTGAATTCTATCTGTGATCCATTTAGCGATCAGGTAAATGTGAAATACACCAGCGGGGCGTCATAATCTAGTAAGAAAGTGAACGTTTTTCCCCTAAGAAAGTAAAAACCCCGGGCACATACAATGGAAAAGAAAAGTAAAATGAGATTAAGGTATTACCTTAAGTGTGAATAAATTCCGCTACAAAAACTGCCTTTGTTGTCCTCGATGGACGTTTTGTTATGATAGGATTCGAAAAATATTAGTCGAGAACGGTGAATGAAAAGCAGAGTCATCAGCAGTGCTGGGGAAAAGGGGTATTGGGAATTGTAAAGATGATTAGTACTGGCAGAAAATATAAATCTAGCTGTATGCTATCGGTATGGAATTCGGGATAGACAAATGTGCAATGGTCCATCTCAAAAGAGGACGATGCGGGGACTACGTAGAGGATATGCAGCTCGTAGATGAAGACATCCTACACCATTTGGATGCCAGAGAGACGTATATTCACCTCGGGGTAGAACAACGCCGCTTACAAGAGGTAACAGCAATGAAGAACTCTCCGCGGCACGTAACAGCACAACCTTCGACAGATCTGGTCATCGGAACTGTCGGGGAAGAACAAAGTTGCTGCAACAAAATTTGCTTTCCGTTCCAATCTTACTCTACTCGTTTGGAGTATTGAAGTGGACTCGGGAGGAGCTGTATCAACTCGACGTAAAGATCCGAAAAATGATGCATCTCTATAGGAGTTTGCATCCCAAATTGTCCGTTCCACGGTTGTACTTCCCCAGACAACAGGGAGGTACAGAATGGTACTGGATGTGGCCTGTAAAGTCGTCTGGAGTTCGGATCCCCTTGTCTGCATGGTCCGTAACCATGAGAGAGCAGGAATTGGAGCATTCCTCTTTAGGGCAGCTGCCCGAGCAGCTGATGAACTTGGTTTAGTTTTCGACACTGAACGAGATGAGCACAACTCTGTCACCGAGTTGGAACCCGTTCAGCAAAAAGCTCAGATAAAAGCCGCAGAGATCACCTCACTTCTGCGGAAACACAAGGATAAGCCAATACATGGGGTCTTCTTCAATAACATTGGAGACCTTGGCTCATCAAAGCGCCTGACGTTCGCTTTTCTCAGGTCAAGTGGGCTGAAGCCGGCAACTGAGGGGTTCATCATGGCTTGCCAGATCTACCGCAGTCGCTGCTAAAAACATCGCCGCTGTCTGTGAGAGTGTGCAGGAGAATATGGTTTTTCAAGACATAGATGAAAAATACCATGCGGGACATTTTGTTTAAATCATCAGTTTACTGATGATATCATTTTTGTGTTTGCTTCTGAGAGTATAAAATATGTCACAACAAGAGCACATATTGTGTTGAACGTTATTCTTTTATTTTGTTATTGAACTAGCTGGAAAGGAAGTATATCTGTGTATAAATATCCATATGAATTTGCAATTCAAAAATGCATTCATGAATTTGTTTTATCCCCAATTTGCTACAATTACTTCGGGAATGAATTCACAACTACGCCACTGCTGACTTACCTGGTTGTGCTGGTTTTGTTCGGCCATCGCCTTCTCTTTGGCCTGTCTCTTGCACTTGTACCTGTGATTTTGGAACCATATTTTCACCTGTAACAACAAAAATCAATCGTTAGACAGTCAGGCTTAAGAAAACTCTAGTTTCTAAACTGTCGCCAAAAGAAAGAGACTATTGAGGAATATAAAATTGAAATATAGGAGATACCATTCACTTGGGTTTGAGGCGAATCAGAAGAGACATCTTTTGATTTTTTCGAAACATTTTGAAAACTACCAATCTTTGCAGTTTGATCCATTACCAAATTACTTTGCATTTTGATTTCGAAATACTAATTTATTTTATTTTTTAGGTTGTTTCAAAAGTTTTGTCCCTTTTATTGTCATGTCATATCTCAATGAATATTTACTTTACTGTGTCGTGGTAGGGTAAAACCGGAATAGATGCCCCAGCGGAATAGATGCATCAAGTCCTAAAAAGCTAATTTCCCGAAGAATTAATTCTATAAGTAGCGGTCCCAGATTTGACCCTTGTGAAACACCGGAAGAAGCAGTATATTCGGTAGATTTGAAACCATTGAGCTGAACATATTGTTTTCGATCCTGTAGATAGGACTGAAAGAGTGCGATTAAGGATGGAGATAATCCAAAGGCTACTAGTTTGTATAGTAGAATACCATGATCAAGCCTGTCGAAGGCCTTAGNGGTTTAGACTTTCGTGGCTGAATTCACTGTTTTTCGAGTTTGAAAGCCGTGAGTTTTTTGGAATTTCTTCCTGACGTTTCGCTGGCGCGAGTGGCTATCTTCTTCAGAGGATTAACCATCATGGCTTGCTGTCATCTACGGGATATCTACGGGAGGCAATAGAGATCCACAAACACACGGCGAATTTCAACAGAAAAGAAGAAGCGGATAACCTCAATCGAATATGGGGAACCCCATTTTAAGGAATTCGAGAATAACGAGCAGAATGACAACAGGCAGCAAGATTGTTAATGTTCCAGGTTCAAGTACTGGTACAAGTACAGGTACAAATACAGGTACCAATACAACTGATTACCTGACAAGATATAAATACGCTTTACGGAGCCTAAAAATTAGTCATCGGAGAGCCAGCCATGATGGTTAAACCTCTACTCGACCATCAAAGCAAGACGATAGTTATGGTGGTCATTGGTTGATAACACTGGCATGTCCTTCCGAAAACATCGGGGCTTCGGGGGATAGGGCCCGACCAGCGTAACCTCACCGAAAAATTATAAGTAATGCTTATTTCAATAGGATGAGAGAAATACTTATAAACATAAATTCAAAAATAACAATCAGTTTATCTAATCTAGCTGTGCCTCTGAATATTGGATGTGCAGTAGATCAGCCGACGGAGTGGAACAACAGCTCATTAACATCGAGGAACTCGTGTAGTGAACATCGTGTTAGTACAGTAAGTGGAGAAATTATTCTGTGTGGTGAACTGTGAGTTATTTGTTGTCTTTGAAAATGCATTCGAACAGTGAAGTGAAAAACAAGGTTCTCAGTGGACAAAGCAGATATATCATGAACAACGTTTTAAGATTTATGCAAGCGGAAGAAACGGCAGATGGAATAAGAATTCCTCTTGCGAAGGTAAGAGGTAACAGTAACAATAAATTAAATTGTAACCAATATTGTACGGAGTAGTTGAGGCCACCGAGGTTTGCATGCGAACTGTACGAAAAATTTAATCAGGGATGAAAAAATAGAAAATGGTAAGTGGATCTAGACCCGTTGGGATTGGCAAGCAGTTTATTCATAATTCTCTGACAGCTGTTGCGAGTATTAACAAACCTAGTTCGGTTTTCGGCACTGGCATATTTGCGCCAGATTTGCGCGAGATTTTTGGAGGCGACAGCTTGCTCGTAATTTTTGTTGAACCATGGTTTGCATTCAAACAAAAAGCCGAATTCTAATTGGTCAGTGCCTCCTGAGCGAACAGATGTATTTGAAGTCAAATGTGATGACAACACAATCTTCAAAAATGTGATGGAAATGTTAAAACTATAGCTTGGAAAAGGAAGTACTCCACTCATGCCGCAATGACTGAATCAATTTCAAAATGTTCTTTCATCAAACAGATCCCACCGTCACAAACTGGCAAAACCCATTTGAGATTTCAATGCCCAGTGGTAAATATCTCGGAACCAACAAATTTCCCGCAATCGTAACCAAACACAAAACCCCGGCCGGTTATTATATCAAATAAAGAAGCCGTGCCTTACATTGGAATGACGAGGAGCGAATTCTTTTTCAATTACAGGCCATACATTCCCACAACAAGAGCGCTACCCGGGGCCCCCGACAATGGCATTGGCACTTGTCGGACCAGCATAGGGTCGGGTTGAATGGGTCCAACGGGGCGAATGCACATCGCACCCCCGTATCTTCCCTTTTTGACGGCTAACGATCATAATAATCATTTCTGATGGGTCTGTTGTGGTGGCGATGAAGTTTTAGGTAAGAAGGTTTGGTACAGGATGTTGCGAAGATATCGCTTCGATCTTTCTATAAAGGAGACTATAGTAAAACCAATAATGATTGAGAGTAAAGCGCGTTGTCATATCAAAATTTTACGTTACCAGTTTATAGCAGAATCAAAATATAGTAAGTGTGGCAAATTATAGATAATACACAATACTAGTACGATTTTTTGTAATTTTTATCGGCGCGTTTTCGGACCTTCCCTTACTAGGCAAAAATACGAATCGAATGACACCTTGGTCGTAATTTTTGGACAGGGCTGAAAAATATTACAAAAAAAAGTACATGTGAACTAGACTGAACATCTCTCAATGTCTAATAATAACAGACAATTTGAGTGCAGTAACCTCATTGAATCAACTCTATCCTAGCCATCCGGTTCTGATGAAGATTAAAACAGAACTATTGAATATTTTTCAAAAGAACATTCAAATTCATTTCTTCGGGCTCTCTCACATATCGGAATAGAGAGCAATAAGAAGGCCGATAGTTTAGCCAAGGATGCCACAAATAAGAGATAAGCAAATGAAATGACAGAAGATCTAAAAGTATTACTGAACGGTCAGTCAAACGAAAAACTATTAAAATTTCTGAAAGACATAAATTTTCTACATGAAATATGAGTTACTAGTGACTTCTGATTCACTTATTGTCAATGTAGAATAAAAAACATATTATGTGAATTACTGTGTAGCCAATAACCCCACGCGGTTGAGGCTTAAATTGAAAAAAAAAGAATCGCACAGTCGCTTGCGCATGGCGACCCGTCGCCACGCTAGCAATTAGTTATACGTGCGGCTATAGAAGTTTCATATAAAAAAATAATTACAATTCAGTTCGCAAGCGTAGATACTGTACAAACTGAGAAAAACCTCTGCAGGAATTTTCTAATTTTGCCCGTCCTGCCATAAAGCAGGAGTTTGAAGTATCGGAGCGATCAGAAAAATAGTCCGACTGATAAATGTAAATTTTGCAAATAAAAATATGAATTCTGCACACTATCTTGAAACTATTCAGAAAAAATAAAAGATTCTACATTCCCTGCGTAGTGCGACAGTTCGGAATGCATTGTTTCAATAAGTTTTTAATGAAATCGTGAAAACCAATATTGATTTAGGCCCTGCCACTCATCGACAAACAAGGCTCCGTAATGCCCTTTTGTTGACAGCTCGAACGACGGGTCCGTACTAATAATGGGACTCGTTATACCGTACAATATGACGGAGGGTCAAACCATTATTAAAGCTAGATTATGGTAATCAACCGCCTATAAGCCTCGTCAGGATTATTTGGTTCGACAAACGATGATCTACTGACGGGGAAATTGTTTTATGAGTTGTTGGGAAAACACCGACTTGCAAATTTTCGGTTAGGATACACTTCAGTTAAGAAACAAAAAGACAGTATATTTATTTATATGGGTCTTCTTTGAAGAGAGTAGTACTACTTTGAAAGAAGTTTATTTCAGTGGAGATTGATTTTAATGAAAGAAATGTTTTGGCTTTCTATTTCTCCATCTTCATAAAAAGAAATGTGGGAATTTTCCAAAGGAAGGAAGAGAGCAATTAATTTCAAAATTATCCAAACAGTTTCGCAATTTTGTATCAAATTTTGTTATTCCTTTTTTGGTGTTGAACTGTGGTGTTGGAAAATGTTGTTTGTTTGAAGGTGGTTGACAATGTTTCGTGGTGTATTTAATCAGTTCGGACTTTCATTGTCTAATTTAATATAAATTTATTTGAAATCCCTGAAAAAAAATAACTCGGGCCATTGAAGGAGCCCACAAGAAGCCCTGAGTCTGGCTGAGATACGTAGACGACACCTTCATAATATGGAACCATGGGAATGCAGAACTAGACACTTTCCTTAAGCACATCAACAACGTAAGTCCTTCCATCACTTTCACAATGGAGAAGGAAGTCCACAACGAATTGCCGTTCTTAGACGTATTGGTGAAGAGGACCGACACTAAATGAGAAACATCTGTTTATCGAAAACCCACTCACACAGGACAGTATCTGAACCAGAAATCCAACCACCATCAATCGACTGAGAGAGGAATCATCAAGACTCTACTAGACCGTGCTTTCGGGCTCTGTAATACAAAGGAAGATCTCGAAAAGGAACTGGGTATCATCAAAAATGACCTTCAACGGAATGGTTACTCCAGAGTGATGGTAGAACAGGCTTTAGCTAGAAGACAGCAAGAGATCCACAAGGAAGAGAAGCCGCCACAACCAGTACTTGTACTTCCCTACATCAGAGGATTATCGGAAAGGATGAAAAGGATTGGGTCCAAGTATAACATCAGGACCTGCTTCAGATCTGGGAACACTATCCGTAGCAGCCTCACAAAAACGAGGCCACCAAACGCGGACTGCGATTCCAAGAATTGTATTTACCGGATACCCTGCGAGTACGGTGAATCATACATCGGTGAAACTAAGAGGCCATTGAAAGTTCGCATTGCTGAGCACAAGAAACACACACAGCGAGGAGAAACCAGCATGTTTGGACTCATCAACATAACATCAAGTGGGCTCAAGCTGAAATCATCCACAAAGAGGAACACTGGTTTA